AAAAAACAGGATCTGGATAGTAGAAAGCACGTGCTCGATTTTTTTTTTCCCATAGCTCCCCTTTCACGATTTTTTTTTTCAGCAATTTTTGCTGGGCAGGCATTTTTTTTGTTAATTGCCCAATCCCCGACCACCGTCAAGAAACAAAACGTTCCGTCCCGAAAGGACTCCGCAAGGTCTTCCCTTACGGAATTCATTAACTCACGATGGCGGCTTTAAAAAACTTCTCTGTTTTAGAGGACAGATTTAATCTTTGTTTTGTTGTTTTGGTTTCAGAACTGTGCGGATGGCATTGATATACCTGATTAGTGGAATTGGTGGGAATTTAATTTGTGGACTTTTTTCTCCACTCACTCCACAGGCAAGTGTATAAAGGTGTACTAATAAAGAGGCCCTATTACTGAGGTCGTACATTCTGCGAACCGCTGTGTTTTGTTCCTTCGAAACTGCAGACCGCTTTCGGTTTCTCGCAAAAACTGAAACCACCCTATTCATCATCACCAATCTTTTAACAATACGTAAAAAATCCTTTACGAAATTATAGATCAATAATCGTATTTCTCCTCGCAAAAACCACAAGATCTCGAGAACAACAAATTGTTGCTAACTCCATTCAGTAACCAGCGAACAAAACGTTTTGACGTCTAATGAGCTGCTCACAAATACAAAGACTGCTCGAGATGTTTTACTTTATAACGAAACGTTATTAAAAGTACAAGTTTGAGGCCTGGGTGTGTTGCCTGTACTTGTGTGGTCTTTCTAATATGGTTTCACGGACAAAGCAAGCATGTGAAATTTACCTTACGCAAAACCGAAAACCGCGAGTTTATGATTTCCTGTAACCGCACGATAATTTCTTAACCGTAAACCGCCAGATGAATGTGAATGTACCCGCAAACCGGTACTCAAAATTGGCTTATACCCTCTATAAATGTACAAGGAATAAGAGAGATCATCTTGATGCAGAAACAAATTCTTAGAACTAACAATAAAGAAAAAAGTATCGAAACAAACACGGAGAATTTACATTTTTATCTTGGGATTGGAAGAGCGACGATGATTACAGTGTTGAAGACTTGGCCATGTTGTTGAAGTCCCAGGGGGGACTCACATATAAAAAGGGCAGGGGGGTGCTCGTCAGAAATTTTTAAAAAAACCCCTAAGAGGTACCGAGATTCTGCTTTGTGGGCGTGGCTTGGAATTTTTTTCGTGCCCTGAGAGGTACCATTTCTAAAACAGCACATTATCTCCTATCACTATTTTACTTTTTTTACTTTTTTTTAACCCCCAAAATTACGATGAGCACCCCGGTCCATTTTATATGGGAGTTCCCTGGGGGTTGAAGAGTTTTTCGATCTTTTGTTTCTCTTGACAGGCTGGTGCCTCGGGAGCTCTGTTTGGTCTGATTGGTTTACTGATAATAAAACTGCTGCAGCTGCGACATGAAGTTAAGCGACCGTGTGTAGAAGCTCTTATTTTGCTGGGCGTGGTGTTGGTCAGTTTTGGTAAGCTGGGCAATTAGAATACGTAGTAAATAACGTAACGTAACATAACACAACACAGCACTCGATTTCTTTTCAATGTTTAAACCTGTCTCACGATATAATGAAGCATTGAAAATACTACTTGGACACTGAATGCCAGTATCGAAACTCCTTATCAATGCCGTCAAGAGAACATGTATTATCATTCAATTGATTTACTGTAAGTGGGATGAGTTGTCAAGTCCTTTGAGCCAGAGTCCCACGCCAAAGGCGACACAAAGCTTCAGTGTGTCGTCCATAGAGAAAATAGTTCTTCACAGTGAACTAATATTATTCTAATCTTTTTTGCAGCACTGGGGACATTGCCTTACATTGGAAACTTTGTACACATTGGAGGCTTTTTCTTTGGTCTTTTTGCCTCGCTAGTGTTTCTTCCCCGCCTAAACTTTCGTTGCCAGAGCTTGGCAATTTATTTATCGTTTAAAGTTGTAGCTTTTGCCTTCCTCTTCTGCGTGATCGTCGCTACTTCCCTCGCGTTCTTCTTCATCAAAAGCGCCAACTTCTGTTGGTGGTGCCAATACATCGATTGTGTGCCATACACAGAGCATTTCTGTCCAACCATGAACGAAGATGGATTTCTAAACGGTAGTTAATAATGTGTCGTGATTTGCTGTTAAAGGAGCTCAGTCACGTGCGTTATTTTGAGTTATTTTGGCCACGGGCAAAATTACTTTTAACCCTTTGAATACCAACTACGCATATATGCGTAATTAATGGTCGTGCTTTTTGTACCACTTGTAACGTCATCAATTTAAATGTCATCGGATATTCTTGATAAGCAAATTTTGACTTATGCGCATGCCCGAAATTGAAATTTTGCTCAATTTTGTACCTAATCCTCGAAAAATCTCTCCTTTCAGTAAAAAAAAAAAAGCTTCTTTGCAAAACTTAGGCTTATTTAGCGTCATGGCAGCTAAAAAACCTGACTAAACGGTTAAAAACGGTATTTCTTGGGGAAAGTTTGGTATTCAAAGGGTTAAAATGAAGGAAACTGAAAATAAAAGTTTACTAAGAAAGAAAAACACCAAAGAGATAATAGTAAATCGTAAAGGAACAAGGATGGTTAAGGGTGGAGAAGATTGGCACGAATTACAAACGACGAACTTGACAATTTAGGTTTAACTTTTCAAGATGTGCAAACTGTGTCGTTGCTCCTTTGAGGTCGGGATTAATCTGGAACCCAGATCCGGCTTCCACCGCGTCAAACAGAGTGAGATCTGGGTACGAAATTAGGTCGCGATATTTTGAGTCAGTGTTTTGAGACCCACAAAAACTACTTTCAAAATGTATTAAACCTGAAAATAATAGTGTACTAAGGTAAACAAGCACCAAAAATGCAATAGTGAACGAAACCTCTACAAGGGTATTTAAAGCTTGGGGAAGATCACGACGGATTGCATTTGACAAACGTGAAACCGAAAATTAGGCTAATGTTTTCAAGATGCACAAACCATGATCTAGCTGTATAATATAGTAATAGTCTTCATCAGGTGGTGAGGCCGAGGTCAACTGTTTTTGCGTCACAATCGAGACAAACGATTATACTTCATTGTTACTGTATTTCACCAGGAGGAACAACCCCAACTTTTTTTAGGACACGAACTACTATTATATGAAATGAACTGTATGGACTATTCTACTGAAAGCAAAATGGTGTAAAAATAGCGCAGAATAATGCAGGAATGTATAAATGACTGTAATTGGCGGAGAATAACTTAGACATGTTAGATAACGCATATCGATAAATTATCAGGACTTAGGTTTGTAAGAAAGCGATATTTTCAGTTTTTGCAAGAAGTCTATTTATAGAGTTACGAAAGAAATGGTTTTTCAGTCTGAGCAGGGGATTGGTTAACACAGTGGGGCGACTGTAATTTAATTGCAGATACATGTACTACGCTATGAAATGACCTACACTTTCAAGCCTGTGTATTTTTTTTATACAGCAATACTTTTGAAAACGAAAAAAAAGACAGGCAAATTACAAGTATCCATAAATACTGCTAAGTTGTATTTTTGTTAGTACACGTTACTACATTACGAATTTTCTCTGTTAGAATTCCTAGCTTTAGACAAGCATCAAAATGATGTCAATAAGCTTCAATATTCTGGTTAAAAATAGAAAGGTGTGAGAATTGATGCTTTCAAGTTCGGAAATTAAACTAACACTTTCTCTGCTGTTGTTGCGTGTCATTATCATCTATGTATACAATGCACGCTTACGTATGAATGCGGTCGTCTTGCAGGAGACTAAGTGGAGGGGGGATGCGGGAGGTATTAACACATGTTTTCCTAGGTCTCTTTAAAATTTCGCATTTTCTCCCTTGTCCCCGTTTAATAAATTACATTGTTGTATACCTTCCAACTGCTACACCTTATGTTCCCTTATACGTGAGTCTCGTGCCAACTCACACCTCTGCCGGACCAATTGCTCAGGTTGATGAGCTGAAAAGATCATGTAAACTTCAACCAATGAACGAAAATAAAATGTCCTGTAATTACGTTAGGCTACTCCCAATTGTACGATTTTGCAAAGGAAAAATGGAAAGTGCTAGCAACGGCGTTATTTTTGGCGAAGGCACATCTTGACAATAGGA